ATTCAGAGCTTATGTAACGGAACAAAAGTTTTCGACGGTTATAAACGAAAAATCACAATTTAACGGTTATTTTAGCTCCGATTTTGATGATTTTTTACAGATACACTCCTCGACCCTATAAGAATGTAATGAATAAATTTGATCTTTAATTTAAAGTATTTACACTAGTGGATAACACAAAAACTTATTTTATACTTAATAGAAGTATAATATTAACTCTAAATGTTTGTTTAATTTACCGTTTTGACGCAATATGCATTCTACAAAACTTTTTTCAACGATCCAACCGTCAAACTTATTTGTACACATTCCGAGATTGCATACGTAAAAACTCGTAAAAAACAAACATTCAGAGATTACGTAACTGAACAAAAGTTTTCGGCGGTTATAAACGAAAAATCACAATTTAACGGTTATTTTATCTCTGATTTTGATGATTTTTTACAGATACACTCCTCAACCCTATAAGAATGTAATGAATAAATTTGATCTTTAATTTAAAGTATTTACACTAGTAGATACCACAAAAACTTATTTTATACTTAATAGTAGTATAATATTAACTCTGAGTGTTTGTTTAATGTACTGTTTTGACGCAATATGCATTCTACAAAACTTTTTTCAACGATCCAACCGTCAAACTTATTTGTACACATTCCAAGATCGCATACGTAAAAAATCATAAAAAACAAACATTCAGGGATTACGTAACGGAACAAAAGTTTTCGACGGTTATAAACGAAAAATCACAATTTAACGGTTATTTTAGCTCCGATTTTGATGATTTTTTTACAGATACACTCCTCGACCCTATAAGAATGTAATGAATAAATTTAATCTTTAATTTAAAGTATTTACACTAGTGGATACCACAAAAACTTATTTTATGCTTAATAGAAGTATAATATTAACTCTAAATGTTTGTTTAATCTACCATTTTGACGCAATATGCATTCTACGAAACTTTTTTCAACGATCCAACCGTCAAACTTATTTGTACACATTCGGAGATTGCATACGTAAAAAATCGTAAAAAACAAACATTCAGAGATTACGTAATGGAACAAAAGTTTTCGGCGGTTATAAACGAAAAATCACAATTTAACGGTTATTTTATCTCTGATTTTGATGATTTTTTACAGATACACTCCTCGACACTATAAGAATGTAATGAATAAATTTGATCTTTAATTTAAAGTATTTACACTAGTGGATACCACAAAAACTTATTTTATACTGAATAAAAGTATAATATTAACTCTAAGTGTTTGTTTAATCTACCGTTTTGATGCAATATGCATTCTACGAAGCTTTTCTCAACGATCCAACCGTCAAAATTATTTGTACACGTTCCAAGATCGCATACGTAAAAAATCGTAAAAAACAAACATTCAGAGATTACGTAATGGAACAAAAGTTTTCGACGGTTATAAACGAAAAAATCACAATTTAACGGTTATTTTATCTCTGATTTTGATGATTTTTTACAAATACACTCCTCGACCCTATAAGAATGTAATGAATAAATTTGATCTTTAATTTAAAGTATTTACACTAGTGGATACCACAAAAACTTATTTTATACTTAATAGAAGTATAATATTAACTCTAAGTGTTTGTTTAATGTACTGTTTTGACGCAATATGCATTCTTCAAAACTTTTTTCAACGATCCAACCGTCAAACTTATTTGTACACATTCCGAGATCGCATACGTTAAAAATCATAAAAAACAAACATTCAGAGATTAAGTAACGGAACAAAAGTTTTCGACGGTTATAAACGAAAAATCACAATTTAACGGTTATTTTAGCTCCGATTTTGATTATTTTTTACAGATACACTCCTCGACCCTATAAGAATGTAATGAATAAATTAGATCTTTAATTTAAAGTATTTACACTAGTGGATACCACAAAAACTTATTTTATACTTAATAGAAGTATAATATTAACTCTAAGTGTTTGCTTAATCTACCGTTTTGACGCAATATGCATTATATGAAACTTTTTTCAACGATCCAACCGTCAAACTTATTTGTACACATTCCGAGATCGCATATGTAAAAAATCGTAAAAAACAAACATTTAGAGATTACGTAATGGAATAAAAGTTTTCGGCGGTTATAAACGAAAAATCATAATTTAACGGTTATTTTATCTCTGATTTTGATGATTTTTTTACAGATACACTCCTCGACCCTATAAGAATGTAATGAATAAATTTGATCTTTTATTTAAAGCATTTACATTTTTTTATATATGAGTGATTTTATATATATATTTTTACATTTTTACACTTCTACAATAATTATTATTAATTTTATTAATTTTTCCCTCAAATAAAAAACATTATTCATGAGGGTTTGAAGGATTTAAAAAATCTAAACGATAATATAAGTGTAACAATTATTTATTCGTGGAGGAATAATGATAAATCACGAGTGTTTATATATTTTTTCACATTTTTCATACTTGTATGTATGTCTTCTTAGTTCTTGCATATACAAATACTATACCAGTATATTTTAATTTTGGACAAGAATATGTTATGTAAAATTTATCCTAGTAATGATAATAAGGAACTCTCATAATAAAAATAAATAATGACTAAAACTTTTTTTTAATTTTTTTATAATTTATATAGAACAATAATACAAAACTATATATTTAATATAGAATATATTGTATATATTAATATGACTATTGTATTTTATAATAAATCTTTTAGTAATTAAACCTTAAAATTATTAAAATAATTCTTTTCTTAACGGGTCGAAACGGGTTACCCACGTGTTACCCGCGTGTATACCTGTTAAGAACCCGTTAACGGGTTCTTAACGGGTCACCCGATAGTGACCCGATAAGTTATCGTGTTGACCCGAAACCCGTTATTTTCGTGTCGTTTTCGTGTCGTGTCAAAAACTGCCAAGTCTAGTTGCAGGTTGGGCTCGGGTGAGGGAGAAGACGAACTGGGGGTTTTGAATGGGGGAATGGGTGTGGATTTAAGGAGTGGAGTGTGTAGAGAAGGGAAGAGGGTGGGTGTGAGGTGGGTGCGGAGGAGGATGAGGAGAAGGAGGAGGGGGGACAGATGGGAAGGGGGGATGGGGATCTGGGTTTGGGTCTTTTTTTTTTAATATTTATTATTTTTTAATAGAAAATGGATCCCGTCACTTGCCACGTCAGCATTTTAACAGAAGAATTAACAGACAACTTACGGAATGTATGAAATTGTAACAAGTTCGTAGATGAGGTATGACATTGAAACTTTTTAAAGACGAGGTATGAAGCTGTTAATTACTCAATAGTTGAGGTAGTTTTGTATAATTTACCTAATGTTTTATTACAAGAAAGAGGTAACTGAGAAACCTCATAGTTGAGAACTGAACTTAGAAGCTGAACTATGATGCTAAAGTGAAGCAAGAAGTAACTTCTCCATTTCAAAGCCTACAAATCAGAGTTTGCAGCTGTCCTGATTAATGCCATTTTAAATTTGACATTTGTCTCAATCTGTATCATGTGTTTATAGACGTTTAGTTATAATCATAAAACTCAAATTTTTGGTTCAGAAGTTCAAGGATGGTTATATGATGTCTACGTTGAGGGTAACATGCAAAGAAAATTTGGGGATAATATTGCTCAAAAAATTGTCAACAATGTTGATTCTCCAAGAAATTATTATCTATACTAAAACCCTGTGGGAAAACCATTGTTCACTAACAGTGCCCACCCGATTTTGCCCCTGATCTAACGCTCACTTTTTTGGCATTTTGAAGATGCTATATGAAATGTCATTTTGCCCCTTTCCTTTATATTTTGGCCTAATCGGATAAACAGTCCTCGTGGTGATAAGGTAATCGGAAGATAGCCCTTGTGGTAAAAAAAATTAGGATTTAAACCCTTGTGATAGAGTCCGTTAGCAAATTTGATCCAAAATTGATTTTTCCGTTACTTGTCTGTTAAATACAAGGATAAAAATGTATTTTAACGTGTACTCCTTCTTCTTCCTCCCTTTGCATTTCATCTGTTTATATCTTAAAACAACCCCTACCAAAAAAACCACAGAAAATAAACCATGATCATTAATCTCTCAGCTTCTCCACGCTCCTATTCTCTCTCTCTCATCAAGTTATCCAATTCCAAATCACCCATCTCTGATTTTCCATCAAAACCCAAAACCCAAAACCCAAAACCCACCACCCAAAACCTCCATCTTCTTCCATTTGCTTACATGGATGCCTTGGAGATAAGCTGCAACGAAGTGACCGCTCTCATGGACAACAATTATGGCCGTTAACACAGCAGCCGCCTCCAAAACCAACTGAGGTTGCCAGAGTCGAAGCCAGGAATCGCACAAGTCCTAAACTTGAACCTTTTCCCATGTGGGCACCTACCATTTTCAATGAAAAATCGATCCTTGCAGTGAAAACCAAGGTCTAGTGAAGAAAATGAGCAGCAAATGGAAGAAGATAGAGGTTTTGGGTGGTGGGTTTTAGGTTTTGATGGAAAATCAGAGATGAGTGATTTGGAATTAGATAACTTGATGAGAGAGAAAGAAGAGGATGATGGAGAAGATGAGAGATTAATGATCATGGTTTATTTTCTGTGGTTTTCTGGTAGGGGTTGTTTTAAGATATAAATAGATGAAACGCAGAGGGAGGAAGAAGAATGCGTACTAGTTAAAATACATTTTTATCCCTGTATTTAACAGACAAGTAACAAAAAAAAAATAATTTTGGATTAAATTTGCTAACGAAATCTACCACAAAAATTTAAATCCTAATTTTTTTTACGTTACCTTCTGATTGCCTTATCACCGCGACCGTTTGTTATCTTCCCCCCCCCCCCCCCGGCGTGTTGCTCGGCTTTGCCTTTTCCACTTATGGCCACGTGTCGATCATCGAATTGGCCGTGGCTTTGTCTCTTCTCTCTCTTATTTTTGCCGTGGTTTAAGCTGGTTGTGCATTTTTCTTCGTTTCAAATTTGCTTGGTTAGCTTTGTTTGCCGTTTCTTTCGTTTTGCTTATGCTTTTTGTTATCGTTTCTGTCTTTCGTTTTTCTTGTTGGTTTCTGCTGTTGTGCAATTGATTTTCAGCTTTTGTTTTTCAGCGCCTTTGTTTTCGCTTTCCAGTTTTTAATTCGGGACAGGAAATATCGATTTGTTCATTTTTTTTACTTACACTCTTGATAGGCTATGACTTTGTGTTTTTTTATGGTTGTTTTTGCAGTGGTTGAACGGCTGTCTGATCGTCAATTGGAGGATCGTGTAGTTGCAATTTCCAGTATCCCCAATTGGGTTCTTTGTCAGGTATTAGTTTTTTGTGCGATGTTTTTTTTTTTTCGAACTGAATTGGCCATATGATTATTTGTTTCGGTTATTTGAATTTGTAGGGTTGTTTTTTGATTATTTCATGCCATTTGTTGCTTCATTATTTTATTACCAAGCATTCCTATTTTGGGATATTTCTGTTTTATCGGAGAGATAGACTGTTTTTTTGAGCGAAAGTTTTAATCTCTCAGATTTTTAGTTAGGTTTTGTTTTGGGTTTGGCAGATTTGTAGCCCGTTTATGCATGTGGGTTTTATCAGACTTGGAAGAAAATGGGATTGAGTGTGAAATCTAGATACTGGATTTCATTAGTATAATCTACATAGTGGTATTATAGAAATTTTATATTATTTTTTGGAAAATTAATTATTTAAAATCCGCAGACCATTCGAGGTCACAATTTATATTGTTGAATAGATATCGAGATTACGAACGCATAGGCGAAAACCGTTTGCAAGTCCAGATTATAACGGTATAGTTACGGACGTTTGAAGTTGTTGCTAAAAAAATTAAAAATTAAAAATTAAAAAAAAATGAAAAGAGAAGGAAAAGGCCACGGGAGTGGCTAAAAAGAGGAGAGGAAAAGAAAGCCACGGGAAGGTGGCGAGAGAAAAGAAGGAAAAACCCGTTTTGGGGCGAATTAGACCCGTTAACCCGCAAACTTGATCCGCTCATATCTCCTTCATCCGATCTCCGTTTTGGGTGATCTTGGTGTTCATTAAAGCTCTTGACGAGCCCTACATCTCTGTAGTGTTAGATTTCCCATTTTCTTATCTATTTTTCCAGTTAGAGACAGCAAAGTTCTGTGGGTTTCCGGCGGTTTTATCATTTTTCCGGTGATTCCGTCAACCATTTCCTTCGAGTGAAGTATACTCTTCATAATCTTCAAGTTGGTGCTTTCGTATTCGTTTTAGAGTTGGGTGTGTAGAACCCTAGAAACCCGGTTTTCCATGATGAAATTGGATTTTTACTCTAATTACCACGTAAATTTGAGCCTTTGTGGTTAAGGTTGAAAAATTGGGTTTTCAAATCCTTCACCATGGCTACCATCGCGTGTGGCGGTGCGTGAGATTGTCCACGAGTGTTGTCAAGTACCAAATACCTTCTAGTGACCCTATGAACCTATGTCTAGCTTGGTTTCCCGAAATTCAATTGTTTGGTATGGCGATCAAATTGGACCACCACTTGTTTATGTGATTGATGACAATCTGATCGTTGGATCGTTGTACAATTTTGTGAGCACCATATTTATCAGTTGTTGGGCCTTAGGAACTTACTAGTGAAAATCTAGTGGTTGGATCTTACGGAGCAAATGATGTAAGATCATGGACCATACCTTTGATCGACGGTTTGATTCTCATTAAATGTCGTTGTGGGAGACTTATGAGAGTTTTGGGCATGTGAATTTATCGAGAGAAATCTAAATGTGGACTTGTGCTTTGTTTTTGGCGGTAATAGAGCTTGATGCCTTGAATTCCATGCTAGAGTGCGTTAGTGTGGACCTCAGGTGAGTGACTTTAATATATGTGATATTGGTGATTACCTTATTTTCGTAATTGTTATCCTATGTGGATATGACTTGGGTTTATAAATATGTTTTCTATTGAATAATTTTTTTTAATGCTTAGCCATTGATTTAAGTTTATGAAATGAGATTTGACATGTATATATATTGAAATATGGTTTGATTGGCATGTTGTGATGAAATGTGAGGACTAGTGGTAGACCGTTAAACTGTGGTGATAGGGATTTGTTGATTCGATATGGTTTCATCTTCTGCTTTGTTGATTCGTTCTAAATTTAGTATTTGTGCCTTATTTCCCTTGGTTAAGCTTTTGTAAATTAAGTAACTTGTGCTTGTCTCATTTCTTTGAGTCATTGTATATATGGTTGTTGGCCTTCCGCGATTCTGTTGAGTGATGGTCCGAAATCGTATCCACTTGGATTCCGTTGAGAGATGTTCCGGAATCCCTCCTCCTCTGTGATTTCTTTGAGTGATGGTCCGGGGTCGTATCCACCTCGGGTTTCATTGAGTTTGGATTGAGATAGCTTCAAAGATGTAGGCTTCGGCCGAACTGCGTCCATCTAGCCCTAGTTTTTAATGTACATATGAACGATGGATTTTGAGAATCTTATGCTTTGAATTAAAAAAGTCGTTGGATATCTGAGTGACTCCTTCCAAGTTGTCAGTAACTTGATTATGATTTCATAAAGCATGATTCTATACTTGATGTTTATAGATTGTGATCGATGTCACTAATTTTACATGCAAGAAACCGATAAATTATTTTGGTTCCGTTAAGTGATCCGGAACCCGATGTGGTTGGATTCCGTTGAGTGGTATGGAATCCCTACTCTTGCTCATTTCCATAAGTTAGACTTGTACCTTGGATTCAAGTGAATGAGAATTACCCACAATAAATCTTGTGAATATAAATTTGAATTATCAAGTTATTACTTGAAATCCAGGCAGAGAATTATATAGAAGTCCTTTATTAATTTAGGTTTATGAAATGAGATTTGACATGTATATATATTGAAATATGGTTTGATTGGTTTGATTGGTTTGATTGGCCTGTTGTGATGAAATGTGAGGACTAGTGGTAGACCGTTAAACTGTGGTGATGGGGATTTGTTGATTCGATATGGTTTCATCTTCCACTTCGTTGATTCGTTCTAAATTTAGTATTTGTGCCTTATTTCCCTTGGTTAAGCTTTTGTAAATTAAGTAACTTGTGCTTGTCTCATTTCTTTGAGTCATTGTATATATGGTTGTTGGCCTTCCGCGATTCTGTTGAGTGATGGTCCGAAATCGTATCCACTTGGATTCCGTTGAGAGATGGTCCGGAATCCCTCCTACTCCGTGATTTTTTTGAGTGATGGTCCGGGGTCGTATCCACCTCGGGTTTCATTGAGTTTGGATTGAGATAGCTTCAAAGATGTAGGCTTCGGCCGAACTGCGTCCATCTAGCCCTAGTTTTTAATGTACATATGAACGATGGATTTTGAGAATCTTGTGCTTTAAATTAAAAAAGTCGTTGGATGTCTGGGTGACTCCTTCGAAGTTGTCAGTGACTTGATTATGATTTCATAAAGCATAATTCTATACTTGATGTTTATAGATTGTCATCGATGTCACTAATTTTACATGCAAGAAACCGATGGATAATTTTGGTTCCGTTAAGTGATCCGGAAGCCGATGTGGTTGGATTCCGTTGAGTGGTCTGGAATCGTATCTTGATTTGGATTCCGTTGAGTGGTCTGGAATCCCTACTCTTGCTCATTTCTATAAGTTAGACTTGTACCTTGGATTCGAGTGAATGAGAATTACCCACAATAAATTTTGTGAATATAAATTTGAATTATCAAGTTATTACTTGAAATCCAGGGGAATTATATAGAAGTCCTTTATTAATTTTGTGCATTGAGATGTGATCTGATTGACTGATTAACATAATTAAATGTTAATATCGTGCATCCTTGATATCATGGAATGGGTTACTTGAGATGATTGTGGAAGGATGTTGAATATGATTGTTATTATAATGATTAGATCAGTGATCAATGCGACTAGAGGATACTATTGTGCTTTATTGATTCTTTGATATATTACTTGATATGAATAGTGATTTTATGTTGAAACATAATGATGTATATGATGGATGAAATAGAAACCTTGATTGTCATGCGGGTTGTTATGTAGTTTGAATCGAATAATTCATGCTCGTCAAGTCCAAATGTTTGATTGAGGAATGTTATGCATTTTGGCTTGAATAGATTGTGTTATATGTCGAGTTATAGCGAAGTTGAACTACGAATGGCTTGATCTCTATTGAGGGTACGTAGACAGTCTAACGAAGAGGTTAGATGCAACCATAAAGTATACAAAAATTTATTACGCAATTGGTTCTCGAGTTGTGTTTTGCATATCCTGGTGGCGGGATATGTTAGAGATACGAGTAGTTGGTGACGTCATGTGTCGAGCCTGGACGTATGTCGAGATAGGGGCGTGACATTGAGAGTGAGCAAAAAACAACACTGAAAGGATGGGATAAAGAATTGGGATCAGGGATATGGAAACAGAGAAAAAGAATATGATGGATGTATAGGATCACTACGTTTATGTTTGTGTGTTGAGAATGTGGTTCAGTTAAGCAGTGGTCGTGCTGTGTTTTCTTTTGGCAATCTCATTCTTTTAATCAGTTACGCTTTTAAACAAACTGTTGTAGGTCTATAGTTTTGAAAGTGTAGTTGTTACATCATTGTTCAGCCTCTTTGAAATTTCTTTCTGCATTATTTGTCAATTCACAAACCTTAAATCTCATTTCAGCAGTTAAACATGGAAGGTCGAGGTCCAACTCCTCTTGATCGATTGGTCCCATATGAAAAAATTGGAAAAATTAAAGTTCGTATCTGCAGAATATAGATACCAAGATTTTCAGGCATGACTGATAAATATGCAGGTCTACACTGTGTATTAGTTGATGAAAAGGTCAGTAATTAATCTTTAATAATACTGTTTGATAAGCTCTTAACATGTGAATTTTGTATTTGTTCTAATACATATCACATGACATTTTTACTCTCTGGGATAAACACAATCTCCAATTCATTTCTAATCTCTGTATTCTTTCATTTTGTATCGGAAAATTACATGTTAGTTATCATTCTGTCTCTATGTGATAAGAATTTGTTTTTGGGTGCATATGCATTGTCTTTAACTTGTTAATTACACTAATAAATTCACTCTTGACGTTAACTATCCATCTTATTCTCTAATATTTGTGATTTACATTTATTTTCATATTATTTCAAGTATTAAATATATCAACTCTCATGTTAAGTCTATGTGACATGTAATTATTTTATGGGTATCCATTGCCTTTAAACTGTTAATTACAATGATAACTTGGCTTTCAGTATTTAGTATTCATCTTAGTCTATAATGTTGGTAATTTGCAAATGTTTTCATATTATTTTAAGTTTCAAATTTAGTGTTATTTACCTATTCATGATATCTTTGACAATTTCTTTTTCTTCCCTTCTCAATGTTTGGTTATCAAGGAACAAGCGATAGAAGCGTCTTCTGACGAAATGAACTATGATATAATAGTCCCAAAAATTGAAGCAGGTGCTTGCTACGAGATTATGAATTTTCGTACCAACAAAATAAGAGGCCAGTGTCAAGTAGTCCCGCATGACACCCATCTCGTGTTAACTGCCAAAACAGTTTTTAACAAGTTAACAAGTGTGTTTCTGCCTATTCTGTGTCGCAGATTTTTTTTTGCAAGATTATAATAGATTGTATCCAGGCTGAACAAGACTGATATCCTAACAGGTAATAAATATGTACGCATGTATATATAGCTGTGTGTTACAATGCATTGATACATGTTTTATGAAACATTTTCTCCTCACCTAATTATGTTTTGGTTTTCTTTCTTTTTTTCAAATTTGTAGATGTTATTGGTCATGTGGTTGGAGTCCAGCGTTTTGGACTTGACGAGTTAACACATCATATGAACTATCTAAACATAAGCTTTCTATTTTTACTTCTTTTACATAAGCTTTCTATTTCATGATTATTAACTATCTAAACATCTTTTTGGATATTTAACAGGATGATACATTTTTGTGCAAGGCATCAATTAAGCGGTTTAACACATCATATGAATGGTGGTATGCTGCTTGCCCTACATGTGCCAAACAAATGTACAAGGACCCAACAACTGGTCAACTGATGTGCCAAAAACATATAAATCAAATGCCAACTCCTTGGTAACGAGTTAAACACTATATTTTGCGTTTGTCAATTGATCGTTGTCTCATATCCTTATTAAACTGAAACTTATCATTTATTCTGTTTTTAATTACATATTTTCAATTAATAGTTCATTGATCACGTAACAAACTTACAAGCCATAAATTTAATTAAATTTGAAATCAAACTTTGCATACCTATCCTTTTATTTTTCATATGATTAGTATTAACATTAAACCATACCATAGAAAAATCTATGAGAATGTAGTTCTTGACTTATTACACTGTGTATCCTCTATAATTAATGGCTTTTCTATTTGAATGAAGGTACAAAGTGTTCTTGGTCCTTGAAGACGAAACAAATGAGATCAATGCTCTCATTATCGGCAAATTAGGAGAAAAGGTCTTTGGCATGCCATGCAAAGATTTGGTTTACAATCAAAGATCAACAGATCACAAGCAATTACCAAGTGAGTTTTTCAGACTTATAGGCCAAAGGAAAAATTTTCACCTTTGGTTTGGAAGCCGACGAAATTTGTTGAATTCAAATGATCTCCTTATCTACAATGTTTCTGAGGACACAATGATCCAACCAACAACACCAGTCTTTTATGAAAGAAATTGCAGTGTCTTCGACAACAGTTTCATCGTCCACTACACCAGCTGAAAAAACCGGAGAAACGCACAAGAGGAAAAGAGATTCCATCAGGAGAGCCCTTTTTACAGAGGCTAAAAACATGTTATATTCTGCATCACAGCATTTTTTTCTCATTCTCAATTTATTTTCAATCTGATCTAAATCTATTTTTCCTATCTCTTTAATATATTTGGTACGGTGAGACAGAGGAAGTCTCTGAAGTAGATGTCTAGGATTTTGGTCAGGTTCCAATCAAATTGTTGAAAAAAAAGCATCTTCTCCAACAAGCATGAAAAAAGACCCTCTACCAAAAAAAAAAAAAACTAGGTAACTTTGCTCCATTCCTATTTTTTATATGATGTAACCATATTTGCACACACTTGATTACAGCTCAGTTAGCATTTACATATTTTTTTTACCATCTGCACATCGTTTATTTGCAGTTATTGCCAGAAGGAACAAACTTTTGCTGCTATAGAAAAGAGACTGATCATCTTTTGTTAAAACAACATCAGTGCTTCTCCATATTTTTTGCGTGTAAATAGGCCACCATAACATTGATACCCCTATTTTTTGTGCACATGAACAACTGATGCTGATCAACACCTAACATAGCTACCAGGGGGAAATATCAGACTCATCACTTTTGTACATCCATGTCAAAATGTTTCCTAATGTTTTTTGCCTAAATTGTACAACTATAAACAGTGGCCTGTAAAAATATTGACTACATTTTATATGCAGTCTTTATTATGTTTATGTTAATAGTGTTACTCAACATTTATGTACATTTGGATTTTCATGATATGTTCTATAGTTTTATTTTCGTTCCTGCAACAACGTGCGGGCACAATTTCCTAGTTATATTCCAAGGCCTAAAATAAAGAGTTAGCCTTCAAGTGAAAGCAACACATATAAGTCTAATGCTCCAAACCAAAAGATACGTTGTAAGGTCAACAATTACAACTTCAAAGTTTGTCATGGTATTCTGATGTACAAATTAACTAACAAACCTTGAATTCCTCAAATGTTAGTTTCGGAATAATTTTTCAGTCACCGCTACAATCAAAACCATAGCTATTGTCTGGGAATAATGCCTGTAGCAAATTGAAACCAGATCATTATGTTAGACATTGAAATAAAGAACAAAAGTGATGATACTAATAAGACATAAATTACAATAGATGTTGTGTAGTTTAATATGTCAGCAACATTAACGGGAAAATCTATGGAAGTAGTGGAAGTTATGGTGAGGAGAAGGATAAATATTATGTGCCTACAAGAAACTAAGTGGGTTGGTAGTAAGGCAAAGGATCTAGAAAACTCAGGGTTTAAACTTTGGTATTCGGGCACAAATAGAACGAGAAACGGTGTTGGCATCATCGTGGACAAGACCTTGGTACAAGATGTTGTAGATGTCAAGAGGGTAGGAGATAGAATCATGGCAATCAAGATTGTAATAGGACAAGAACTTATTAATGTGATTAGTGCGTACGCACCTCAAGTAGGGTTGGATACGAGTTCGAAGGAGAAATTTTGGGAAGATCTTGGAGACTTGGTGCAAGGAATTGCTCAGACGGAGAAGTTATTTATAGGAGGAGATTTAAATGGACATGTGGGCAGGGAGACAGGCAACTATGGAGGTTTTCATGGTGGCCATGGTTTTGGGGAGAGAAACGAGGATGGGGAAGCTATCTTGGATTTTGCAATGGCATATGATCTCTTCTTAGCCAACACCTTCTTTAAGAAGAGAGAAGAACATGTGATCACCTACAAGAGTGGGTCGTCAAAAACACAAATAGATTTTCTTCTAATGAGGAAAGGGGATCGTATAACTTGTAAGGATTGCAAAGTTATACCAGGAGAGAGCGTGGCTAATCAACATCGCTTGTTGGTGATGGATGTACATATCAAAAGAGTAAGACAAAAGAACAAGACTTGGAAGTGCCCAAGGACTAGATGGTGGAATCTAAAAGAAGAAAAACAAGCCATTTTCAAAGAGAAGGTAATCACCCAATGTGTGTGGGATAGAGAGGGGGAAGCTAGCCAAATGTGGGATTCCATGGCTAGTTGTATCCGAAAAGTAGCAAAAGAGGTATTAGGAGAGTCCAAGGGCTTTGCCCCACACCAAAATGAATCTTGGTGGTGGAATGAGGAGGTACAAACAAAGGTGAAGGCTAAGAAGGAATGTTGTAAAGCCTTATACAAGGAGAGGACCGATGAAAATGGTGAAAGGTATAGAAAAGCGAAGCAAGAGGCGAAGAAAGCTGTTAGAGAAGCTAAGTTAGCGGCTTACGACGATATGTATAAACGACTAGATACCAAAGAAGGAGAGTTGGATATCTATAAACTATCTAGAGCAAGGGAAAAGAAGACAAGGGACCTAAACCAAGTGAGGTGCATCAAGGATGAGGATGGAAAGGTTCTTGCTACAGAGAGAACGCGGTTAAAGACAGATGGAGAGGTTATTTTCATAATCTTTTCAATGAAGGACATGAAATGAGTGCTTCTTTAGGGGAGTTGAGTAACTCAGAAGAGTGTAGAAACTACTCTTTTTATCGTCGAATCCGGAAGGAAGAAGTGGTTGTAGCTTTGAAGAAGATGAAGCATAAAAAAGCAATAGGCCCAGACGAATATACCAATCGAAGTGTGGAAACTTTTGGGAGAGACAGGTATAACATGGCTCACTGACCTTTTCAATAGGATTTTGAAAACGAAGAAGATGCCAAATGAGTGGCGAACGAGCACTTTGGTGCCTATCTACAAGAATAAGGGCGACGTACAAAATTGCATGAACTATAGGGGTATTAAGCTAATGAGTCATACAATGAAGCTCTGGGAGAGAGTCATTGAGCATAGATTGAGGCAAGAGACACGGGTTTCGGACAACCAATTCGGGTTCATGCCAGGGCGCTCAACCATGGAGGCAATCTATCTCTTACGAAGATTGATGGAAAGATATAGAGATGGGAAAAAGGATTTACACATGGTCTTTATAGATTTGGAAAAAGCGTATGATAGGGTCCCAAGAGACATTCTTTGGAGGATTTTAGAGAAGAAAGGAGTACGAGTAGCATATATCCAAGCTATAAAGGATATGTATGAAGGAGCAAAGACTGCCGTAAGAACTCATGAAGGACAAACCGAAAGCTTTCCCATAACTGTAGGATTACATCAAGGCTCATCCTTAAGTCCTTACCTTTTTGCGTTGGTAATGGATGAGTTAACAGGACATATTCAAGATGATATTCCTTGGTGTATGCTTTTCGCAGACGATATAGTGTTGATAGATGAAACTCAGGAAGGGGTAAATGCAAAGCTTAACCTTTGGAGAGAAGTGTTGGAATCTAAAGGTCTTCGCCTAAGCCGATCAAAGACAGAATATATGGAGTGCAAGTTCAGTGCAAATGGAGGCCAAAACGAGTTAGGGGTGAGGATCGGAGATCAAGAAATACCAAAGAGCGACCGTTTTCGTTACCTAGGATCTATCTTGCAAAAGAACGGAGAATTAGATGGAGATCTCAACCATAGAATACAAGCTGGATGGATGAAGTGGAAGAGTGCATCCGGCGTGTTGTGTGACCGCCGTATGCCACTGAAGCTCAAGGGAAAATTTTATAGGACGGCAATAAGGCCGGCGATGCTGTATGGCACAGAATGTTGGGCGGTGAAACATCAACACGTACACAAAATGGGTGTAGCGGAGATGAGGATGCTTCGTTGGATGTGTGGGCACACGAGAAAGGATAAGATTAGGAATGAGGATATCCGGGGTAAAGTAGGAGTAGCCGAAATTGAAGGAAAGATGAGAGAAAATCGGTTACGGTGGTTTGGACATGTGCAAAGAAGGCCTACTGACGCTCCGATTAGAAGATGCGACTATGGGACAGAGGTTCAGGGCCGAAGGGGTAGAGGAAGACCTAGGAAAACTTTGGAAGAGACTCTAAGAAAAGACTTAGAGTACTTGGATCTAACGAAGGACATGACACAGGATCGAGCACAATGGCGTTCTAAGATTCATATAGCCGATCCCACTCAGTGACTTGGATTTTCCAAGTCTCCAACCGAGAAGTTTTCCTCACTCGGGAAATTAAGGGAACACTACCCCAACCTACATGCTCCACTCAGAAAGCTTCAACATACAAGCTTCAACAAAAGAAAATTCAAAGAACTTAGCGAAGAAGGCTTTGGTGTATTTAACACAATACGTTGAAATGAAGGAAAGCTTATTTATTGATATCCCCGATAAGCTACAAATATGTACATATACATGAGTCAAAATAAACACACAAGAGGGAGCCTTCACAAAGGTTGCTTAGGAGAAGTCTCAGCAGTCGGTAGAGCCCCAGAAAGAGAAGGCACCGGAGGGGGATCATTTGGAGCCTCAGTACTGGACAGAACCCTAGAAGGAGGAGGCATCAGAGGTTGATCATTTGGAGCTTCATTACGCGGTACAGCCCCAGAAGACGAAGGCAATAAATGCCTTTGGAACAAACCCACAAATCTCTGATGATCAAGTAAAACCTGACCATCAGTTTCCTTCATCTGGTCAAGCTTCCTCTTCATGTTTGTAGCATAGTCATGTGCGAGCCGGTGCAACTGTTTATTCTCATGCTTGAGCCCTCTAATCTCCTGTTTGAGACTCATCACTTCAGCCGCCAATGATTCAACTTGGCGGGTTCGAGCAAATAGGCGTTGGGCCATATTAGACACAGAGAACCTGCACACTGAACACTGAGAGCCAGCGAATCCTTAACAGCTAACTCATCAGACCGTTTGGAAAGTAGTCTGTTATCTTTGGGAGTGAGAAGGTTCCTGGCCACCACCGCAGCGGTCATATCATTCTTCATCACGGAATCCCCAACGGTAAGAGGACCAGTAGGGGAGACGAAGGATGGGCGCCATATGTTGTCTGGAGAAGGCGGGGCTGCCTCTTCAACAAGGTTCAAGTCAAAACGACGGTCGGAGGGGCCAGACATTTTCAAAGGTGTTGAAGAGAGAAGAGGTCGGACAAATCAAGATCTTAGAAGTGCAAGAATGAAGCTTCTACTGGTGGAGATTCAAGTGTGCTTTGGAACTTAATGCCAGCCCCTATAAAAATCTGCACTCGACGGAGCTTCAGAAATCGAAGAGGCGCCTGCTCAGAAATCGAAGAGGCGTTTGCTTTCTCAAAAGCTGGGCTGCTTAGAGATCACGAGGGTTGATCTCAGAAATCGAAGAGGCGTTTGCTTTCTCAAAAGTTGGGCTGCTCAAAGACCACGAAGGCCGATCTCAGAAATCGAAGAGGCGCTCGCTTTCTCAAAAGCTGGGCTCCCCAGAGACCACGAGGGCCGATCTCAGAAATCGAAGAGGCACCTACTTTTCCAGCCTTGTCAGCACCTGTCACACGCACACTCAGCTTTGCGGAAATTATGGGCATTCTGTCGAAGACTTCTGGGGAAGTAGAAAACACATGAATCTTACTGTTCAATCACCCACTTCCCACACGCAACAATAGCTCATGGGTACCACAGATAACTTTGCCAAAGTTCTCTGCCAAAGTTGAGCACGTGAAGCTTGCAGCTCCCACTACATCGCTCTGACCAAGAAGGGTAAAAGAATAGCAAAGAAACAGCACTAACAAAGTTTAGACCCATAAATTTTGAAGGTCTAGCTACCATATTATTACCCACAAGGGTAAAGGAACAGTACCACTGCTGGATAATTGGAAAGTCCCTGTGTGTCAACCTCTGTGCTTCGTGGCAAGGTAGACTAGCAAACATGCCCAACCTTTACTCACATTCGAGAA